GAGTCCCCATCCCTGGAGGTATTTAAAAGACGTGTAGATGTGGTGCTTAGGGACATAGTTTCGTGGTGGACTTGGCAGTGCTAGATTAACGGTTGGACTTGATGATCTTAAAGGTCCTTTCCAACCTAATGATTCTATGATTCTATATGACTACAGCATCTACATGCATCCTGTAATTCTAAGTATATAAAACATTTATAAACATTTTCCGAGGGAAACATGCATATAAGCAGTGTAATAAATCTATACACAGCATACCAACATCAGACTTGCCTGAAAGATCAGGACCATGGTCATGATTTAGCTATTATGATGTACATGGTATTTTTATTCAGAAGACAAAGACACATGTAGCATAGCATCGGAGAAAAGAAACTAAAACTCTCCAGCCGCCTTAGGGAAATCTCTGGATATAATTATGAACTCTAATTGAGGTTTTAACACTTTTACAGCACAGAATGAGTTAACATGTCATATATCTTCCAGACCAGGGATAACACACAATAACTAACACTTGATGGCTCCCACTCAGGTGAGAGCAATCAAATCTCATGGGATGGTTAAACTCAGCATTAACCTCTCTTCTGCCTCTAAACTGCTGAGAGAGAAAAGTGATGAAAAAAATGTCAAAGTAATAGTGAACTGGTGAAGAGAATAACTGAGAATGGCTGCTTTTTTAGAAAAAAGATCTCAGAAAGAGGAGAATCAGTAAAAAGTTTGCTAAAGAGTGAATGACATCACACATTGGAAAAGCCAGATTGTTATAAAAGGGGGATACCAGACATCAAGCCTTATCTAAGACAAAAAGAAGACTGAGGAAAGAGCTGATGAAGAGGCCTGTAGAGATTTTGGACAGATTTGTATATTCTTGGGCTAGTTCTGCACCCTATTGAGACCAGGAAACATTTAAGAGCATATTTAACTTCACATAATGGGATATAAGTGCAGTAGTATAGTAAGAGCCCTGGTAGAGCTCTGCTGCTGTAGCACTCTCTGGGAAAGTAACAGAAGTCTACACAAGCTCAACAGTTATCCCTAATGGCTCCTCAAATGCATCCAGTCGGGCAGAAGAGTTGAAACCAATGTCTGCCAAGAAAAAGCACAGACCTAAAGCTTCCACCCAGAAGGCAGTGAGGAGTAGCACACTTAAAACAGCAGCAAAACCCACAGACATTACCTATTACTGTAACAAACTCCAAGATCTCAACTAACAGCACAGCTAAGGTCAAAATACACATTCAATTCTGAAATAGAGACAAGAAACACATGGAGAAAGATTTCACCTCTGGATTTTTTTTTTGACTGATGTACTAGTTTGAAAAGGAGATTAAGAATCAAAATCATTGACACAAGCTGAAGGGAGGCATGTAAATAGAGGCAAGTGTTTAAAAAAGTCTATTGTCTTTACCTTCTTGACCTATATAACTTTTGAGTGCTAAGAGTTTAAAGTTAATTCAGCTATAAACCATACTGTGGCGTCAAGAATTTTGTTTAAAATGACATATTTCCATCACAATTAATGTATTACCCTGTCATTCCTGCAACAGAGGCATACTTAAAAAGATCAATATATTCTATTCCAAAACTATCCATATGATCTGCAAAAGTATCTCAGAACTGAACTTGTAAAAAGACCGTTTCAAACAGTTTTAAAGTTTTACAATGAGTCAGCATTTTTCACAAGAAAAACAGAAATAAAAAGTTAATGCACTACTCCAGAGTTATTCCCATTGTTTATTGTAAATTATGAACAAAACTACGACAGATATAGGCCTCAATTTTTAACATCAAAGTTGCTCTTTTCCCCAAAATTTGAAGCAGCCTCCTTTGAGATGACCAGGAAGTTATCCCACAAAGGTAAAAGGCATTTCAACCGAACTGTATCTTGCCAGAATCAAGTTTTACTAGAATATCTAGCATATGATTGAGTCTATTCCATTAATCACTTCAAAGGACTGTCCGATCATCTCAATTTATACATAACTTGCCAACAAAGGGTATTTTGTACAGTAGCAAATGGAATTGTACTGTTTACTTGGACATTTTAAAAATAGTAAGTCACTTTACTCTTCAGCTTTTATTTCTCTTTGTGTTTGGGAACATAATGTCTCTGTGACTATATAGGATTACAAACCATAGTCATTTCCTATTGACTAGTTCATCGTGCAGCTCAAAGCATGTCAAGGTCATATTTTTACGCCAAGCCATAGCTATAGCCCCGAAGGTAGCATGCAGTGCTTCATTAGCCACATTGAGTTGTACAGAATATTACCAATACCTAGTTGAAGAATCTGCTTTAAATCAATGCAGTATCTGAGATACTCTTTCTGGAATACACAAGAACTCAGAAAAAATAATTTAAAACATTATGGTTTGACCACCATATTTTGTCCAAGAATTTCTTTCATAACCAAAACACATACCCTTCCTGGGTTGTTATAGTTGGGTATGCTTTCGGGACAGCCTTGACCCAGCTCATAGATGAGTACACCCTGGTACATACAACAATGTGCCCTCACTGTTTTTCAGATGATTGTGTGTTGAAGTAAGTGATAAAATTTGCATACACACAAAGAAAAGTCACATGTAAATTCCGTACTTGGGTAAACATGAGGACCAGCATGCCAGAAATTATGTATGCAATTAGTATCACATACATGAAATGGTGTGTATAATTATAGGCCATCTTTGAAAATGCATCCCGTGTCTTGACAAATATTCTGTATGCTTCTATGATCCCTATCTACTCACCAGGACCTCAAGTGCTGGTCTCTGCAGAACACTAAGCATGAGTGTCTTTATATTCACTGGTCCAGCTGTCATGAGTTTTGCCTTCCAGCTATCATTCTCAGATGCTCATCAGACACGCTTATTCCAATTTAGTCTACAGAGTGTGAGTAGTTCAGCTGCTGTCCTCAGTGTGGAGTTTTTAAGCAGCAGCTGTTGGGCAGGGATGATATTAAGTCTGTATTTCTAAACGAAAAGACATTCCTGCAGAAAAAATTGACAAGTCTTCTTTCAGTTCTACAGAGGTCTTAGTTCTCACATTTTTCTGGTCCTAAGGCTGCTGTGTCAGAAACTTTAACACAGACTCTTCCCACATAGAAGAGAGAAAAGTATGTTCACAAATGTGGAGAAGACAATTCCTCTTAATTTTACATAGGCATATAGTATTTGCTTGACAGACTGTGCGGTTCCAGTATGTTTTTTTTGGTTTTTTGGGTTTTTTTAAATGGTGAAAGAAAACATTACTATTATCTACTAAAGGGCACTTTCACCGTAACAACAATCTCAGTGTTATTTATGTGTACATAATTCTACTTAAAAGTTCTTTTTTGATAGTATTTTGTATTTTTTTTTCTCCTTGGTAAAAATTGTATATCTTTAACTTAAATTCTCTTTAAAGGTCAATACAGTAATGCATCCTGTAAGTCAGCTTTAAAAGTAAGTGTATAAGGTCTGTAACTAAGCTTCCCTCAGAACTACTGTCCTGAACAGCGATCTTCTTGCTGATCACAGCAATCTGAAGTTTGCTATAAAGAGAACAAGTTTCAGTTGAAAGGTTAATTAGAAATGAACTGTTCCCAAAACCACTGAGAGAACTGGAGGCTTCATAACCAAGTGTTGATAAGAAGGAATTAGGAAATCAATAACAAACATACTCGACAAAGAAAGTCTCTTATGAGAGTCACTTTGGTAAACATGAAAGGGAAGGGAATCTGGCTGTACATAGCATTAAGCAACCAGCAGCTCCAAAAGGAGTAGCTTCCAGATGCACACAAATTCTCAGATTTGAGGCGTCTCCTAATAGGTCCTTCATCCCAAAACTGAAGATGGTAGACAAGCCACAGGAAACCTCACATTTCTATGCCTGTCTTGCCAGGTCCAGAGTAGCCCAGTAAATAAAATTCTTGCCATTACTTGTAAAAAGCAACAGGCTTTGCACTGACCTATTTTGACTGAACTTAAAACATTGACAGACTAACAATATGGGCTGCATAAAAAGAAGCGTGGCCAGCAGCTTGAGGGGTGTGGTTCTGCCCTTCTACTCTGCTCTCATGAGACCCCACCTGGAGTACTGCATCCAGCTCTGGAGCCCTCAGCACAGGAAAGACATGGACCTGTTGGAGCGGGTCCAGAGGAGGGCCACAACAATGATCAGAGGGATAGAACACCTCTCATGAGGACAGGCTGAGAGAGCTGGGGTTGTTAAGCCTGGAGAAGAGAAGGCTCCGGAGAGACCTGATGGCAGCCTTTCAGTTCTTAAAGGGGGCTTATAAGAAAGAAGGGGGCAGACTTTTTAGTAGGGTCTGTTGCAATAGGACAAGGGGGTATTGGTTTTAAACTAAAACAGGGTAGATTCACACTAGATATAAAGAAGAAATTTTTTATGCTGAGGGTGGTGAAACACTGGCACAGGTTGCCCAGAGAGGTTGTAGATGCCCCATCCCTGGAAACATTCAAGGTCAGGTTGGATGGGGCTTTGAGCAACCTGATCTAGTGGAAGGTGTCCCCGCTCATTGCAGGGGGGTTGGACTAGATGACATTTAAAGGTCATCTAGATGACCTTCCAACCCAAACCATTCTATGATTCTATGAATGAATTCCTGTTTCTGCACCTTTTGGCCGTAAATCTTGACTATGACACCAGGAACCATGAAATATTTGCCTAGGCTTGGAAGAGGTGGCAAGCTTCTGAGTAACTGCTATTTTGTATTACCCAAATGCTATCCCTAGATATAATGAAAATTTCCACACACAAATCTCTACCCCTACTACCAGCACTCATGCAGCTTCTGCATTTTCTTAGTTTGTCTCCTTGACAAACTCCCAAACCCTGTTTTGAGTGGCATCACTACTAAGTTACAAAGCAGGTATCTGCTGTATCTCAGGTAGAGTTTGCCAAGTAGAATAATATTTGTATAAAACTTAATAAAAACATTCCCATTCTGTGACAAAACACTTCTTGGAAATATCCCTCAAGAGCCACAAAAAATTTCCCATACCCATTTTTTCTTTAGCAATTACCTTATTTGACCTGGTTTCGTTCTGAGGAGGTCTTAATGTCACTAGCCTAGTACACTAGGAGAAAGTTAATGCAATTAACTGGAAAGCACTCAGGAATCAGACACAACAGGATGAAAAGCACTACACAAAAACTTGGGTTGGGGTTTCTTGAGCACCTGGAATACCTAGTTAACATAAAGAATCCTCAGTGACTTAACACTGCCAAGCACTTTTATTCTGGCTTGCTTCCAATCACCTTGTGCTAATATTATGCCTATCCTTGTGCTAAATTAGTTACCAGACTGCATGCGTTTGGGGAATCTGAACGCAAACAGCTAGGCTGGTGTCACAGACCACACAAAGCATTTACCCAGTGAGAAAACATCTAAGGGTTTGTATGCATTGGTCCATCCAAAGATAGCACTTACATTACAGTGCCCTTATTAAACTTGAAAAACTGCAGTATCTTCTCACTCTTTACTTAAATGCTGAACAGGGCTGCTGTTGGGATCACAAGCACTGATCAGTGTGGGTTGTTTTCAAACGTAGGTGTTACCCAGAGAAGATCTTAACAGCTAGCACTTCAGTGTCTTTCATGTGTGGATCCTCTAGTTTTTGAACTCATCACTACTAGCAGGGATGAAACTACCCCATTATCTTTTTAATGATGACTAAGATACTGAAACTGAAATGCCATCAACATGCTGCACTCACAGCCATCAGGCCACTCTCAAACAGCTTCCTCCTTCCACTGTTCCTCAACAATTTTTGAGGGACAGAAACAACTGCTTTCTATAGCTTCAGTAGTATACTAAGCACCATTAGAAAAATATAGCCAGAAAATAGCTGTCCTAATTCCAACCCTTCCATTTACATTTAAAGCTTTGAAGGGGGTGCCACAGGCTACAATGCTTAATTTTATCTTCATTAGTTTGCAAAGATAATTTCTTTGGGGTTTGGAGACTAAGCACAGAAACCAATTCCCCTTGAGCAGTGCTTCTTGATTTTTGGAAAAGGTCAGCCCTAATTTTGAAATTTCTTTTTAAAAAGAAGTCAGATTGCCCTATGATCACTGCTTACTGTTACGAGTCTAGAGATACTATTCTAGAACTAAGACTCGACACAAAAAACTGACTGCAATTCTTCCTTCTGAAATCTTGTAACATAGGTAAAGATTTGACATCCATCTAGAGAATGTTATACAGCTGATGAGTATGTCCAGACCACTGCTGGCTGAAGCATTTCCTCCATTCAGCTTATCCATACCATTTTGTTCCTCTACACTTGATTTTATCTATTTGTCTCTACTAAAGATGCAACAAAGCAATGTAGCTTGAAAATGAGACAATTCTGAACTAGAGTGATAGTTCCAGCCCTCAGTAAGTAGAGAACAACAGAGTTTGTTGTAAACATTTAAGGTCACATCTTGAAGTTATAGAACAAAGTTTTATTCTCAAGAGTGACTGATTTCTAGTACATCAACAAGCAACATGTCTTAACAATAAGGGACAGAATTTAGCCAATAGGCTATAATACAAAAAGCCTAGGCTATAATTCATATTTAGTTTTCTTACCTGGGTTCTTAGATGCTTCTTGTTTGGTTCATTATCAGAGACTACTATACTTGGACACTAAAAATGCAGCACACAAGCTCTTCATGGGTAAACCCATTTCTCATCATCTCACCGATTTCCCCATTCTTGCATTTACTACAGGTGAAAAATGATACTTAAGAATGTATGAGGAGATACAATACTCTTAGGCACCTTAATCTATCAATTTAACAAGATAGTTTTCAAAATAAATTTTGATTCAGATATCTAAGAATGATGGAAAAATGATATACTATGTAAATAAAACCTCTACTCTAGATGAAAAACAATCCACAAGGAAAAAAATCTCCGTGCAGATTTATTCAGTCATGCATGCCTCATATGTTACTACTACAGCACATTACCCACAAACAATTTCTCCATTACTGAATGCACTCAATTCATCTACCAGTGCTTAATAAATATTTGATCCTAATTAAACCTAATGATTTTCTCTGCTTCTGAGATGCTGCTGCAGATCAAGAGACTTTTTTATCACAACACTTGACTTAAAAGCAAAATTCTGAGAATCTGGTGTGATTTCTGTTTAAAGATAAGCAAACATGGAAAAAATGTCTTTTCTCTATCAAGAGATTCTAAAAGGGGAAAATTAGTTAGCAAACTGTGTTGCTTTCCAGAAGACTGCATTAGATACATCCCTGTTATCAAAAAACTGTAACTGATAACCAAAAGCCGTTCAGCACCCTTGGGCCACTTGGAATGAAATCTAAGTATTCATACATA